CGCTAAAAGTAGTATAACACAGTACTGTTTTGTACCCGTTTTTCTCTGCGAAGGAGTGAACATCACAATAGACATTTATACACCATTCGATAGCCCTTTTCAAGGGCTACATTCTGTTTGTTTTTGAAAAAGGAGCAACTTCGATTTTTCACCTAATGTCCGCCTAGATGCCCACTGTGCTGTATATGTCTTTTTAAAAAGCTACTAATAAACAGGAAATTTGGTTTACAATCAGCAATTTTTGGTGAGGGGCTTGTGAACTGTTCATGCCGCTCGTGTTTAATGCATTATCTTCTATGAACTTTCGTCGAAGCTCTGAACTCTTAGAATATTTGTATTTTAGATATCCATTTATCATACGTCGTTTTTTAGTTGTCGTATTACGTTTATTAATAATCAGCAATGTCAGGATGTATAAGCAGTGAACATCAACAGAAGGTAATCATTTTATTTGACTAGTTTCTCAGTGATATGCTGATCGGTTTGCTTATATTTTCGTTCATCAGATCATTTCAAAGCTCTGGAGTATCTACAACAACGAGAGAGATCTGGCGCTGGTCCTATCCTTTCTTGCTTCTCAGAAAGAAGGCAGTTATCCCGATTTCAGCATGGGTATCGTCAATTGTAATCAGGATATTTGTGCAATTTCAGCAGATCAGAGAGTAGCTGTCGTCTCGGAAATCATCGATTTGGCAGCCCTAGTTGCTGGACAAAATAGCCGGTGGAACTGTGAGATATCCGACCGGAGATATGTGAAAAACATCATTGATGCTACTTCGGCTATTGTCGGTGGTTTTGCTGGTGGCGCGGCTGGCATAGCTATTGGTAATCATTTATGTTCTCGTGTGGGTACATTGATTGGTGGATTCACTGGTGGCATTATCGGCACTGTTGGTGCTGCTGCTTTGTCAAAATGGCTTACCGAATATTTCTTCGACTTACCGCCAACTGTCGCTTTGGAAAAGGCATACAGCTATTTGGATCTTAAGGCACGTTGCACGAACACCGACATTAATTCGGCGTTCAAGAAGTTGGCTCTCGAGTACCATCCTGACAAAGGCGGCTCTACTGAAGATTTTCACAAGCTGCAATATGCTGTTGCCATAATTAAACAAGCACGTGGACAAGAAGTCTAGTGGCTTCACGTGAGTTTTAGAATTTGATGGTGCTACTGTCCGATAAAGAACTCCGTATCTAAGCTAAGAAAAGTGGCAATAACAGGAAACTTCAAGTTTAGCCGAATCGCTTGACGGCTGCCTCCTCAGACAATTTCCGCTTATTTTTTCAACTGCTATACAAATAAAAAACCGAAAAAGAAAAAGTTCTCCACAAATTAAAGCGGTAGTATAGTGATGTTTTTTCGTGAGCAGATAGCAGGGTTCGAACCAGGTTAGGTCACAAATTGTCTGGCCTACTCCAGGCTAAGGGAGACCAGGCCTAGACTGAAACAAGCTCAGCTAGACCGGTGAAAAATCAAAGCGGCCTGGCCTGTGAGGTTTTCGTACTTTTATTCAAAATTTAGCATTTCGGTTGTAGATGCCACAATGAAATGAAAGGTGAACAACTATAAAACCATCTAGGAAAAAGTGATGACTATCATTGATTAAACCAGATTTTTTTACAAGATACTTAGGGCATACCAAAAGTAGTGGCAGTGGTATTTTTATCCCTTATAGAAAGGTTAAAGAAACTTTCTTTTTATATAGTCTGATAGAGAAAAGAATGTTCTATTTTTCTATGCTATTTGATCAT